CTACAATGCGTATAACTTGGCTATTTTGAAGATATCCATCCGGCTGAAACTTGCTAGAGTATACCCATCACGGCCATGTGTTCTATCAAATATATTTCATTTTTTCGAAATGTCAAAAACTTTTGGAAAAAAAGATGAAAATATAAGTTTTGAAATTTAATATACACATTTTCAAAATTATCAAAATTTTGAAAAATCGAGATAGCAGTTTGATAGCACGTGTATTCGAAGTCCTCTCAAGCAAAGAAATTAGATCTAGCTTAAAAAAAAAAAAAACTGAGCTCTTGAGAGCAATGCCGTAGCTCAATGTTTTGCGTCAAAATAAGCCGAACATGACGTCACTCTGACGTCACTTCCGGCCTACCTATGGTAGCTACGAAGTTCATACTTTGACACAAGATGTCAATTGATGCCGCCGAAAGTACTAAAAGTTTCGCGCCGATGTCTAGCGCTTTAGGAGTTATTGCAGAACAACGAGCTTGGTCATTGGTTGCCCTTCGATCTGGCCGATGACCCAGAAATCATGATATTCGGGGTCTTAGAACATCTTAAGGTAAGGTTAAAAGTTTTTATTTTTCGGGATCCTGATTTCAAAACTTGCATTTGTACAGTCGTGTACAGGTTGATGGTCCCCTACTCTTTATCCACCGGGTTCCTATGGCTCAGCATTGGCAGCAGCCGCCTGGTACCGGTAGGCTGTGCCGCATGACCCGAGAGTGAAGCGGCACAGCCTACCCACACTGTATGACACCGGCTCGGGTCGCCTGGTAGAGCGATTTGACCGGACGCTGCGTTACACCGGCTGGAAGGAGGGGGGGGGGGGTAAAGGTCAGGCCTGTCTATTTGGCTCGGCTCGGTGGATGAGGCGGGCTGAAGTGTGGTGTGGGACGGGGGTAATGTGGGGAGGGAGTGAGCGGACCTGGGGCTGGGTGTGTGTGGTCACTTGTCGCATAGAACCGATCGTAATCCACCCTCCAAAAATTCTCTTTAGAGATATTCACAAAACCCAGGGGGGTTCAAACACCCATCTCCCAAGTGGGGTGCGGAAGGACAGGTAAGGGTCCATACGGTCTCCTCATGAATTGCAGCAAAGAAAGAAAACAGACCTGTCACCAAATAATCTTTCTGAAAAGTGGACTAATCGCATAGCCTCGGACACAGAAATAAACATCCAGCACGCGAAGCGTCTCCAACCGGGCCTCTCACTACCGGTCAATTTGACAGTCTAGCACTCCTACGCTGAGCTACACCGGATGGTGGCCACGGACGGGGCAAAGTCTGGCCGGGCGGGCGGCGGGGCCGGGAGGTCGGCAGCAAAGTCAATGAATGTTGTTGTGGTCTCGGGTGCCGGTCGCTCTAGCTTGGTGGAATGATGATGGATCATTGGCAAAACTTTCAACGTGGAGTCCCGGTTCGAGCCTCATCGGGGCTCCGGCTACTTTTCCGAGTTAGGATCTGGTTTGATTTTAGTGGTTGCGAGCCATTTATACGGTTTTATATCTACATGTCGATTGTCGATTGATTGATTGATTCATTCATTCGTTCATTTATTACATGTCGACATTTAGCATACGAATTGACATCCAGGATCAATCCGATCAATCTACCATTTTCATAAGCGTATTGCCTAAATATCATGCATATATGTGGCACAAGACCTATGGTTGCCTCGATACCGTGCCAAATCACGTTTTGCACAATGCACAAGTAAATTATATTCGCTGGGTCTTCCGTGCATTGTGCTTAGCAAAAACAGGAATGCAATTGTTAAGCGACGCAAAATGTGCAATGCAGCAAGTGACCACACAACCCGCCCAGCCCCCATGGTCCACCAACACGCCCCACACCACTCCCCAGCCCACGCCAACCACCGAGACGAGCCCCTCCCCCCGCGCTGGTCTGACGTGACAGCTGGTCTACAAAGCGCTCCACCCGGCGACCCGAGCCGATGTCAAACGGCGTGGGTAGACTGTGCCGCTTCACTCTCGGGTCATGCGGCACAGCCTACCGGTACCAGGCGGCTGCTGCCAATGCTGAGCCATAGGAACCCGGTGGATAAAGAGTAGGGGACCATCAACCTGTACACGACTGTACCTATGTAAAAAGTGATGCATTCATACATTTGGGGTAGGTCAGGTCAGGTCAGGTCAGGTCAACCAGCTGGCGCTCTGCAATTTGACGGCTATCCATACCTACCAGGCGCTACTCACCAATGAAATCTTATGCTGCAGTGCATAGCCATCAAAACTAGTTGCAGTGCATTGGCACTGTGTAAACCAGTATAACGCCTTTTGGGGCGAGTAACGGAGCGAGCGAGAGGGTGAGTCTTGCACGTGCGATATTTCGAGGGGGTACCTCCAACCGACTTGTGCACGGCACCCTACTAACCGGTCTCTAGCGATGTGCCAAATTTGAGCACAATCGGCCCAGCCGTTCTCGAGATCTGGAAGCGGCACCCTGCACGTGCGCACGTGCAAAATGGGTCCCAACTGACTTGTGCACGGCACCCTACTAACTGGTCCCTAACCGTGTACCAAATTTGAGCGCCATCGGTCCAGCCGTTCTCGAGATCTGGAAACGACCCCTGCACGTGCGCACGTGCAGCAGCACCCCAACTCTGGCACATGAATATGCAGTGCCTAGTGGGTGCCTACCTACATGCCAACTTTTAGCGCAATCGGCCAAGTAGTTACCGAGATATTGCAACAATTGCAAAACTGACACCACTTCGTTTTGCACGTGGCACGTGCATAAGGGGTCACCCACATGCATCAAGAATAGTCCAATACTTGGTAGAAGGAATGAAGCTACCCTACAAAAATTACCGCATGTAAATCGGTCAAGTGGTTGCTGAGATATAAGCCTCGCAAAAGCGTCCGCACGGCCGGCCGCTCATACTCAGAAATTTCCGTTATTCTACGTAAGACTCCGCTCGCTTCGCTCGCTCCGTAATAACATTTCAAGTGTTGTGTATGAGGGGCCGGGGCCCGGGGGGTATGTACCAAACTTGACCAGCCAAAACCCTATATGTATGCTAACAACTGTGCCGTCCTTCGGTCGCCATTCGGAGGGTACCGGGCGAGCCACCAGGACACATTGTCCGACCTCTGAACTTTCACTGTCCTTTGACTCCGCCCCGCAGTCAGTAGTGCCGCGGGCGGTGGCGACGGAACCGGTTCTATGTAGATATCTTCTCATGAGACATGAACCTTCATTTTCGATCCCTCTAGTAGCGTAAAATACCTCCGTGCGCTCATAAACGTGCCCCGGACCGGCGGCGGCTGGGATGAGAGAGAGAGAGAGAGAGAGAGAGAGAGAGAGAGAGGGGGGGAGGCGAACAGTGGCTGGGAAGAGGGTGGGGCAGCTGAGAAAGGGGAACGGCGGCAGGGAAGAGGAAAGGGTGGTTTTAAAGAGGGAATGGTGGCTGGAAAGAGGGTCCGGCGGTCTGGGAGGAGGGAATGGCGGCTGGAAAGAGGGTCCGGCGGGCTGGGAAGAGGGAATGGTGGCTGGGAAGAGGGAATGGTGGCTGGGAAGAGGGAATAGTGGCTGGGAAGAGTGACGCACGCCGTAACCGGCGGGCTGAGCAGCCACTCAAAGGCCTGAAGTATTACGTGTGACATCTGGCGCTCTGATTAATCTTTGGAAACATAATTGAAAATTCCGCTGCCATAACAATAGTCGGATATCTATTAGGTACATCGAACAGCCCGCTCCCATATGGGAAAAAATAGCATGGACGGAGAAACGAGACAACGGAGGAGCCGACCCATAGGCGGCGGAACGGGGAGGGCACCAGGGCACCTGGAGGTGTTGAATTGAAGGTGTTCCGCCGCTACTGAGCCGACCGTAAATTTAACGAAAATTGCAAGGCTCCTAACTTACGCGGCCTTTAAATGTGGCGAATCCGATTACCCTTCGTGAATAGTGCAATCGCGTTCCGGAAGGAAGGAAGGAAGGAAGGAAGGAAGGAAGGAAGGAAGGGTGAAACGCAGCATACACGGATAATGATGAAGCAAATCATCTGCTCAAGCCCATACTTATTTCTGGAGCATCGGTCACTCAACGACTCACTTTTTTATTCATTTTTGAATAATCCGATACATCTGGTAGGTACAATGTGCTTTTGTTACGACCACTGGCCATATCCAATAGCCGTTTTCACGACAGGCTATCCGGCGAATGCACCTGATTTGACCAAATCTGCACCTAATTTCTTTTACAGTAAGTATCTTCATTTTAGGAATTTATTTCAGTGTTTTAACCGATGATGCTCTCTGATAATATGAAAAAGCGGGCATATAAGCAATTAGTGCAACCCTAGCTGATAGCTGCTAAGAACACACTGAACCTGATTTGACCAAATGTGCACCTAATCTGTACCAGATGTGCACCAAATGTGTACCAGATGGCCGTCGTGAAAACGGCTATTATCCATTTTCAGATGGCCCAGTCTGCTTCCAAACGACTTGGTCCGTTTACTTGACCTAGACCGTTATCAAGTGACCGAATCCCGTAGTCCGTTCTCAAACTGCTTTGCTTCTCAATCCTATATTGGGTCGCCTGCAGGACTGGCCCGTTTACAAAGGTCAGAATTCAGCAAACAGCCTGAACCTCCCGGTCTGCAACACATCCACGACATTGTTTTCTGTACTAGGACGTATTGATGCACCGTGGTCCGTGTTCTCTGCATGACTATAGACTAGTAGGTATGTAGCAATAGACAAATGTATATATTGAGACGGGTTACACAGCACATTCGGGTGGACGCGTTTCGTCTCCCGAAGTGTTTGTATTGTTTTTAATTTCCGAGAGGGTGTCGATAAAGTCATTTAGACGAAACGCGTCCACCCGAATGTGCTGTGTAACCCGTCTCAATATATACTAGTAGGTATGTCCTATCACCTCTGTGATGTGCTTGAATTTTTTCTCCGAATAACATCGACTCTCCTCGGCTCGGCGACACGCCCTGTGATGTTGACTAACGAACCGATTGGTCGCAGGAGCGGTCAACTGGGTGGCATCGCTGCAGTTCCGTCACTCCAACTCCCACTTCTGCGGCGGCACGGTCATCGGCGACTACTGGGTGCTCACGGCCGCACACTGCATGCAGAGCGTGTGAGTTAAAACGCAAAACATGTGAGTCGTCACGGAGAACATGTGAGTCACAACGCAGAACGTATGAGTCGGCATACATGCAGACAGAAGTCGTTTACGGATCAAATGCGATATTTTTGTGTTGTTCCAAACTCTACCCTATTGTTTATAAATGTCAACGAGGCAATATTCTCTCTCTCTCTCTCTCTCTCTCTCTCTCTCTCTCTCTCTCTCTCTCTCTCTCTCTCTCTCTCTCTCTCTCTCTCTCTCTCTCTCTCTCTCTCTCTCTCTCTCTCTCTCTCTCCCTCTCTTTCTCCCTCTCCCCATCTCTCTCTCCTCTATCTCTCCCATTTTTGCCCTGCCCTAACTCTAAGGCTCAATCATACACCTACTTACAGCTCCTTGTGATCCCATTGTCGTTTCGTCTGATTACGCCCCACGGTCGGCCGTTCCCATAGGCCTTCCCACGGTCGGTCTCACTAGTCCTCCCTCTTCCCGACAGGAGGGCCGATCAGTTCCAGGTGGTCACTGGAGGGACAAACCTAGACGGAACGGGTCTCCAGGTCAGGTATCCAGTCAACGTCACCATCGCTAACTATGACGAGTGAGTCGCCTCGGCTGGGAGCGAGAATTGAGGAGAGACAAGGCCGGAAAACAGCCGCGTGGGCCGGGAGACACGGGGGGAAATTTTCACAGGATGCAGTGGGCAACGGAGCATGTAGCTGGGAATGAACTATAGGGGGATAAAACATTCCCTGGGGCGGTAGTACATGTGAATTGATATACCTAAGCCGGGACATTGTATTATCAAGTGCCATTGCTAGTTGGGGATGAGCCAATGCATTCTCCGAAGGATGAATAGAGACGAACCAGTGTTGTACCTCGCCTTTGCTTACTGACATAGACCATCATACGGTTTGAAAAGGCCAATCCCGCATTGGTTGGGACGGGGCCTGGGCACAGGTACGGGTGAGCGGAGGGTTACACAGGTGTTCACGTCAAAAGGTGACACAGACCGCACCCACAAAGGCGGAGACGGGCGGCCCGACACAGCTGTGGCGTATCGCCAAGGTCTCGAACATGACCGTTCACCCAGAAACCGAGTAACGGAACGTGCCTGGGATGGAGGTTTCACCAGTCCGGTAGGCACTAACCGCACATTCCATAATGTTGTATTAATTACGTATTAACCTATTTTTGGGTAAGATACATGTAGAGCCAGCCCACGTAAGACTAAAAATTCTTCGACTGTCTCAAACGGAAACGTAACCAAGACCCAAGTACCAAACCGTTTTTATGTAGGTATAGGTAACTACTAGAGATGTCAATCGGATACAAACTTTTTGGTATACCGATACCAAACCGATACCAACTCGGTATTTGGTATTTCAATCCTAATGTATTTGGTATTTTGTTGGTATCATGAACCCTCGCTAATGTTTAAGAGGCTAAGAAATCGGTAAAAGGTTGGTATTTTCCTCATATTCCCAAGTTGGTTTGGTTTCGGTATTTCTCCACGGTTTTGGTTGGTAGGTATCTGGTTTGGTATCGGTATTCCGATTTTCCGTAATTGACATCACTAGTAACTACTGTTATGTTTATTACGTCTATCATCCAAAGACCAAAGCCCACCGTGAAAAGAACACTGCACGTTACACATCATCTATCCAATCACATGTCGCTCGTTTCAGCAACATGAAGTCAAACGACCTGGCTCTGATCCGCACCGGCACACCGCTGGAGCCTTCCACGCGCATCACGGGCGCGGTGGTGAGCCCGGCCGAGCAGCGGCCTGCCGCCGGCACAGAGTGTCAGGTGCTCGGCTGGGGGCTCACCAAACAGGGCGGCAGGACCGTGCGTCAGCTGCGCTGGACCACCGTCACCACTCAGTCCAACGACCGGTGTCAGGCCGAGTTTAGGTGAGAAGCGACCGGTGTCAGTCCGAGTTTGGGTGAGAAGCGACCGGTGTCAGTCCGAGTTTAGGTGAGATACCACTCAGTCCCACGACCGGTGTCAGGCCGAGTTTAGGTGAGATACCACTCAGTCAAACGAACGGTGTCAGTCCGAGTTTACGCGAGAAGCGACCGGTGTCAGCCCGAGTTTCGGTGGGATACGACGGTGTCAGTCCGAGTTCAGGTGAGATACCGCCACAACTCAGTCCAACGACCGGTGTCAGTCCGAGTTCAGGTGAGATACTGTCACAACTCAGTCAAACGACCGGAGTCAGTCCGAGTTTAGGTGAGAAGGTAGCACTCAGTCAAATGACCGGCGCCAGTCCGAGTTCAGGTGAGAAGCGACCGGTGTCAGTCCGAGTTTCGGTGAGATTCTGTCATCACAGAGACCCACGCCCGCTGTCAGTCCGAGTTTAGGGGAGACACGAGCGATGTCAGTCCGAGTTTCGGTGAGACACGACCGGTGTCAGTCCGATTTTAGGTGAAATACGACCGGTGTCAGTCGGAGTTTGGGTGAGAAGCGACCGGTGTCAGTCCGAGTTTAGGTGAGATACCATACCACTCAGTCAAACGACCGGTGTCAGTACAAGTTTAGGCGAGAAGCGACCGGTGTCGGAGTTTAGGTGAGAAGCGACCGGTGTCAGTCGGAGTTTAGGTGAGAAGCGACCGGTGTCAGTCCGAGTTTAGGTGAGAAGCGACCGGGTCAGTCGGAGTTTGGGTGAGAAGCGACCGGTGTCAGTCCGAGTTTACGTGAGAAGCGACCGGTGTCAGCCCGGGTTTCGGTGAGATTCTGTCATCACAGAGACCCACGACCGCTGTCTGTCCGAGCTTAGGTAAGACTCCCACCACTCACCACACACAAACGACATGTGTCCAACGGAACCCAGGCGAGAGCTGTCTGGCAGACGGTGCGGTGGTTTAGAGCAAATACACCGTTTCAGTACCTGAAGCGGAACCGTGCCATTTCATTGTAAGCAGCTAATTATACTCGAACTTAGGTCATATCGGGCCGTCTTATATTTATCGCAATCTCAAGCCTATGTAAATATACATAGGTAGTCACCAATGTTTGTCCGCTATATGTTGCACTAGTGCATCCCTCACTAGTGCACACACAGTAGTTAGCACACACACTGGTGCTCACTAGTGCATCCCTCACAGTAGTTACTGCCTGTGCACTACCGATGTCCACTACTGAGGACTGCATCCCTCACAGGCTAACCCCCTCCCCTTCCACGACCACAGAACCAACGGCTACACCATCTCGGAGACGATGCTGTGCGCCGGCCAGCCGGGCCGCGATGCCTGCCAGGGGGACAGCGGCGGCCCGCTGGTGTGTCGAGCCGACGGGACTCCTCTGGGGGACGGCGGAGCGCCCACCTCTGAGCTCCGGCTGGCCGGAGCCGTCAGCTGGGGAGTGGGCTGCGCCACGCCCGGCCTGCCCGGGGTCTACGCCGATGTGGCCGGCATGGCTGCCTGGCTGCGAGACGCCATCGGGGAGCAGTGATGGAAGGGGGCGCTTGGGAAGGGTGATAACAGGTCGCGGGGATGTCTGGGAGGTCGGTGATAAAAGTTCGACATTTTTTGGTAGGTGCGATAGAAGTTCAGGGATCATGGTTCAGGGTGTCGAAAGTTCAGGGTGTCAGTGGTAAAAATTAGGGGAAATTTGGGAGGCCGATTACAGGTTGGGAGAGAATTGATAAAACACCGGGGTACTTTGGGAAGAGTGACCAAGTGTCGGGATCCTCTGACAGGAGTGAATTTAATATTGGGGAAATGAGTTATGGTGGGCGGAACCTGGGGTAGGTTGGAAAAATGGGGCATTTTGGAAAAATAGAGATGCCCTTACAGTTAAAAGGAATAGGGGCACAGAAGGGAGGGTTGAAGTGAGAACGACGGAGCGGGTAAATCGGGGGCCAATGATAAACGTTCTTTATCGGGAGAGAGGACAGCAGGTGTCTTTAGAGTAGTGAGTCGTGGCATCGCTTTGGGATGCAGCCAGCAGGGACGTTATGTAGAGTGCAGGGGGCGCTGTCGATGGTAGAGGAGCGCGGCGGACCGGTCGACGTGGATCCCACAGGATAAAATGTGCCTTTCAAAACTGTACGGTGAAGATGACACTGCGACTAGACGATGAGGGTCACAATGTAACGGTCGATACAATGTTGTTTACCGAAAACAATGGACCAAGAATGATCAGCGGAACAACAGGAATAGATTGACTGTTTATTGCCGGAATATTAAAGTAATTGAAATAGATACATGATTTCATTTGTTGGTCAATAACATCGACATTGTGCTGACTGTTCTGTACGCTTAACATAAGCAACTTTCGCAAAATGGTTATTGATCTAATAAACGAAACACTAAATAAAACATATCGAGTATATCTTGCCCCCGTCAAGCCAATGTAGGTACACATCCAATTTGACGACCATCAGTAGGTCCCTCTGTCGCACATATTTCATATCATGTTAGACGAGTAAATGGATTTACAACAGCCTGAGACATTAACCAGCCTGACACACTGCTCCACAATAACCAACACCAGAGTGCGTAGCAGAATACAGCAGAGCAATATATAAATCATAACTCAAAGTACAACATACTCTTATAAACATGAGCGTACAATCCAATGTCTCTGGTCCGTCCCCCCGTACATGTAGTCAGCCCACCGCTCCGTATGTATCCACTAACTACGCACATCTTACCGATGATAAAGGTTCTCAGGGGCCACCAGAGCAGCTCAGTCAATAATCCATACAAAATAATATGTTTTAATAATCCATCCAAACGCGCACGAGAAGGGGTGATCCCAAAACAGTCGTATACGTACTCAAAACGGGTTGATTTTTCTTCTTGGAAAACGGTAACGGACCGTCACGTATGCACACCGACACACAAACTCAATTTACCCTCTCGGTCCCAGCGCAACGAGGCAGCCCCCCACACCTCCCCACAGAGCCAGCGCCGACCATTCAGCAAGCAGTCTCACTTCTTCATGATGCGCAGCATCTCCTTGTTCTGGGAGCCTATGCGCACGTCGGCACGGTCCGTCTTGGTGCTAATTCGGTCCAGCATCTGGTTCTGCTCCGAGATCTCCTGGCCGAGCCCCTCGGCGAGCCCGCGCAGTCGGCCCAGGCCCGAGCACATATCCTCTGCAGACACACATACACACGTAAGGGCGGTGTGGGACTACCTTGGAAGGGAAGGGTGCAGTGGGTGCATCGTACATTTGTAGGTACAGAGTGCATTAACTACAGCGCATATAAAATGCATTCAATTATAGGAATCCAGCAATATACGAGCAAACTCACTCAAATGTAATTGCAATTAAATTACGAGAGGCAATTATGGGACCAAGCAGAAGTTATTTGCGAAGAGACTTCATTAGTAGGTCCAAAACCCATGTCGTCCTGCCATCTATCTGCGATAGCGAAACAGATTATCTGAAAAGTGCAATCGAAATGAGCCTTTGAAATAGCGCAGTCCCTTTCTATTCGCCACGGAAGTCTGCGTATGGTCACTAGGTGGCTCTGATGGGACATGGGTTGAGACAGGGGAGGGTGCCTGTTATGCATAGCTTCAGGGGACTATGAAAGTCCAGTGCACACGTACAGTGGATCTAGTAAGGATCTCCAGACGCAACTAGATGGCGTTGAGCCTCAGTCGAGTCCATGTGAGATTCAAGGAGAGGTCACTACCGAGCTGAGCCCGTTGGGGAGGTGGGCGGAGGGGGGGGGGGGCGGTTGGCGAGGTCACGGTGCGGGTGACCTGTCAAACAGCCCCGGCGCGGTGGGGCACTGCCGCAGGCAAATGGCGCACTCCAGCGTTGTTCCATATCGCGGTGGTGGACCGGGCGGCCGGTTAGCTTGGCAGTTGGCTGCTTGGAAGGAAAGGATAATGAGGCATGGGTTTGCTGTGGCCGGCTCATCTACTGTCAACTATGGTGAACCCAAAGTAATGCAAATGTGATGTTGGTAATGCAGCTGGCAATGGAATGCTAGCGAATGCTCCGGGCGCCCAGTAGCTATAAGGATTAAGATTATTTATGTCTCCTGAAATGTTCATTGAATATAATTCAAGCAATAGAAACATCGTATCGTTCGCCAGTTTTTTGACCGGCTGGTGTTTCATGCGTATAACGCCCTTTGGCAAATAGGTAATTATCACGCAGGTGATTTTTTTTTTTTTTTTGGCTGGTAAGACAAAAGGTCAAATCAAGTCGCTAAGAGAAGATGAGGAAAAGTGAACGAATGCCACATTTTTGTGCATGAAGTCTGGAGTTAAAAAGCTAAAAGTTATGCGTGTAAGCTAAAAACAATAAGATCAGTTAATAAAAATATTTGACCCGAAATTAGCCTCTGTTTTGTCTGACCACGATTGCGTGTAAGACACCGGTCCAACCGGGTTCAACCCGGCCCAACCTGGTTCGGCTCCCCCTTTTTTTTAATATAAATTTGGCCCGGACCTTTTGAAAGAAAGGAATCACAAGGAGACAAAGTCCCCGCTAAGCTGAGCTTGTTGCGTTGACCCTGCTCTCTACCCTCCGATCAAGCAATTCCTGGTCTACGGCAGAATTTAGAGTCCAAATTTTAACGTGCGCACATAGCCGCGCACGGCCGGTCCCCTCACTGACTTCGCCTGGCAGCGGCCTGCCACCAACCACAGCCATACCCGTCAGGAGCCGCCCAAAAACGTCAAGCACACGCCGCGTTTCGAACCCGGACTTTTTCAACCGGGACGTGCGCTCTCACCATATGGCACATGGAGTCCAACGCTCTACCGACCGAGCTACCGGGACGGACATTTACCTTGGGGTCTCGCCTCGTGACATTGACAGACGTCAGACACCTTGGCCGAACTTTAGCCGAAACACTGAGTAAGCTGCGCAGGGCGGTAGGTGCTCGTAGTGTTGAGGTTGGGTAACCTGTGAGCTGAATGCGATGTCGTGAGTTCGAGCCCCACTCCCGAGTCCGTTTTTATCTAGACACGAACCAAAACCTTTCCTTCTACTGCAACACAGATAAGCACGATGACATATTTCCCCAATATCTTTCCCCGTTATCCTCTCCAAAAGTCAAAATTATCGCTTATCAATGTTCAGCTGAGTTTCATTTTTAAAGAAAAATATTTTTGGTCATTTGTCTGGAGCCGTTTCAACATTTTTCTTTTATGCTTCTTTTCGACCCGATAAAACCCACCAAAACTGAACGTGCCAAATGAAAAATATCTAACTCAAATACCAGTTTGGAAAAGCCTCATCATGCATCATGAAAAGCATCATGCAACTATCGACTGAATAGTTGCATGCTATGAATACGTCCTAGATTTCAATTATCATTGTTCAACATTTTGGCTGGAACTGACGGTGCCTCTGGCTTGCCCGTTTGTTTGAGATAATGATTCCCTTCAGTCGCATTCTTGCCGGTTCCACATGAACAGGATACCACCATACCGGAGTGAACGCACCCGCAACCATCATCCCCTCCCCTCAGCCTCGGCGCAGTGGCGGGCGGCGCGGCCCTGCCCGGCGCTACGCACGCCCTATGCGCCGTGATACCGCGTCACTCCCCCTCCCTCCTTCCCCCACAATGACCGGTGACCTCACTTCCCTCGGGATTTGGACTCGCCCTACCCCGACCGTAGCGCCACGTGGTGGCTCTGGAGATCTTAAATAGACCCACTGTACACCGGCTGCTCTGAATGCATCATTGAATGGTTCTGGAAAGGCAGTTCATGATAAAATCTAACCGTGTAATAACAGAAACTGGCTTAACTTTGTCTTTAAATCGCTCGAAAAACTTTGTTCCCAAATCGTTCGGAACTTAGTCCGAATTTTTCCAATCATGATTGAGGGAATCCGTTGCAATTCGTGCTAAAACCCGCTTCAATACGTGCTTAAAACGTAAGCACGAAGCAAAAAATAAATGCTTTAAGAACAAATTCATATACATGCCCTTAGAACCTGAATGATAAACACGCATTACCCACGTTCTAGCCCCGAGTCGCACACTGCTGCCGCTGATTCTTCTTCTAGCGCAGCCGAACAACATACACGAATACCGCGCCACACATCGCTAATAACACCCGGCCACTCACCAAGATTCCTGTCCAGCTGGGCGTCCACTCTGGCGTACGGATCAGCGGCGGCGGCGGCCCCGGCTCCTCCCACCGGCTCCGTGTCGTCCAGGCCCCGCACGCGCAGTCCCGGGTGGGGCTGCGCGGGCCGGTCGGCCGCCGCAGCCTCCGTGCGCCGCACTGTCTGCTGGAGGTGCGACTCAGAGCTCGACTGGGGCACGGAGGGCCGCGCCGGGTCGGCCGCCGCCGCGCTACGGCTGCCGAAATAGCTCTTCAGACTGCTGAACACGCTCTGGGGGTGAGAGAGGTGGGTGTTGTTAGGGAAGAAGCGGTGGCTCGGTGGCGCCATCTGCGATGTGGGAACTGTAGGTTCTAGAGACGAACGGTAGGCGGCAGCACAGCCGCACCGCCGTGCGAGAGCGGATTTTAGGACTAAAGTACGTATCGTATCGCTAAAGTACGTAGGACAAAAGTACGTATGCAAATGTTCGTACGCAAATATACGTAGGCGATAAAGTTCGTATGCCAAAAGTACGTACGCAAATGTTCGTACGCAAAAGTACGTATGCAAAAGTACGTAGTGCATAAAGTACGTATGTCAAAAGTACGTACGCAAATGTTCGTACGCAAAAGTACGTATGAAAAAGTACGTAGTGCATAAAGTACGTATGCCAAAAGTACGTACGCAAATGTTCGTACGCAAAAGTACGCATGCAAAAGTACGTAGTGTAAAATGTACGCATGCCAAAAGTACGTACGCAAATGTTCGTACGCAAAAGTTCGTATGCAAAAGTACGTAGTGTATAAAGTACGTATGCCAAAAGTACGTACGCAAATGTTCGTACGCAAAAGTACGTATGCAAAAGTACGTAGTGTATAAAGTACGTATGCTAAAAGTACGTACGCAAATGTTCGTATGCAAAAGTTCGTATGCAAAAGTACGTAGTGTAAAAAGTACGTATGCCAAAAGTACGTACGGTTCGTATGCCAAAGTACGTAGTGTATAAAGTACACTACACAGTGTAGAAGTAGGGTATGGTAGTGTAAGTTGAGCCACTTTTTCTTTATTGCTACTCTGTTGCCATACTAACAGGGAACTCATGATAAATTCATATACCAAATAGGTAATATAGCTATGTCCATTTCGCCCATTTACTCATCGAGAAATTTTGCTATGCCTTGTAACAAATGCTCATTAAATAAAGAATAAGAAAGGTATTACACATTGATCAACTTAACCCAAGGGTGGGGTACGTACTTAATACCCTACGGGCTACGTGCATTTGCTATGCGTACTTTTGTCCGTGACGTACTTTTGTCCACACGTAGGGTAGACCGGGGCAAGTCGCCCCGCCGAGGTAAAACGCCTCACCGATGTTTCTCGGAACTGGAAGGGTTCTGGGGAAAGATCCTCTCTTCTGTTAAATGTGCACTATATGATCATTATATGGGCAGACTGGAAAGAAATTGTGATAATTCTCTAAGGAGATATAGCCAAAAATGTGTTTGTTGAGTGATTTTTATGTTTGGTTGTCTGATTATACATCATCGCGTTCTTTTGTGGTTCACATCAGGTTAACAACTTTTATGTATTTTGAACAACTGTTGTCTAACGCTTATGATGCCGGGTTGGTTCGTGTTAAATTATGTCTTGCTGGAGCGCAAGGCGTTGTTCGCTGACCGAACTACGTGATGGGGTAAAACGCCCGAGTAGGTCGCGGGGCAAAAAGCCCCATGGGGCGTTTTACCTCATGTGTTGTTCGGACTACCCACTTCCTAATGTTCGGTAGCTGGCGAACAACAAGTTTCTATGCATTTATATGTATTTTTCTCAGCAACTGTATGGCAAAGGAAGTATATTGTTAACTGATTTGCATTGCAATAATTTATTATTTGGCCTTATGAGGCAGGTGAAAAACCTGGTCATACAATAGTGTCATAGCTGAACACTTGATAGGATGGAAGGTGTTAGACAAATGTATATTGATAAAGACAAGTAGAAAAACACGGAACAAAACACGGAAGGTGTTACCTTCAGTGCCGTGCCTCCAGCGGTCTAACGGACCTCTCATATAAGATTTAGCCAACTACCATGTTCAATCTTTAATCTAGTGTATGGGGCTTCTTGCCTCAGGCCTTGGGGCGTTTTGCCCTGGGGTTGGGGCAAAATGCCCCATTTGCAGTTGCTTCACAAATCACTTCCTAGCTGGGAGTCCGATCACATGTGAATGAATTTGAGGGATGGAATTTAAAATAAAATGTCCAAAGAACACATTGAGCACAAATTTGGCCTTCCAGGTCAAGGTGATGTGAGACAAAAGAAGGTACCTATGTAGCAAAATAAATTATCTGGGGCGTCTTGCCCAAGGCTACCCTACTTTATACCCTACGTACATTTGCTATGCGTAGGCTTTTGTACGTGACGTACTTTTGTCCATACGTACTTTATACCCTACGTACTTCTGCGATACGTACTTTTGTCCGTGACGTACTTTTGTCCATACGTACTTTTTACCCTACGTACATTAGCTATACGTACTTTTGTCCGTGACGTACTTTTGTCCATACGTACTTTATACCCTACGTACTTCTGCGATGCGTACTTTTGTCCCAGACGTACTTTTGTCCATACGTACTTTATACAGTACGTATTTCTGCGATACGAGCTTTTGTCCCTGACGTACTTTTGTCCATACGTACTTTATACTGTACGTACTTCTCCGATACGTACTTTTGTCCTTGATGTACTTTTGTCCATACGTACTTTAAATTGTACGTACTTCTGCGATACGTACTTTTGTCCCTGACGTACTTTTGTCCGTACGTACTTTATACTGTACGTACTTCTGCGATACTCCTACGTTCTTTTGCTTACGTACTTTTGTCCTACGTACTTAAGCGATACGTACTTTTGTCCGTAACCCGCGAGAGCCAAGGAGCACACCAGATCTACAGCGTTCCTTGGCTTGGCCGCCAAGGTTCCTGTCTCTGAAAGTTACGTGGTTAAGCATACATTGCTTGAGCCTGGAAAAGAGCACAAAAATTGGGCTCAGGCCCGGGTGACCTACGCCCGGGTGGCCTACGCCCGGCTGACCTACGCCCGAATTGCCTACTCCATCGAATGTCTACGCCCGGGTGACCTACGCCCGGCTGACCTACGCCCGAATCGCCTACTCCATCGAATGTCTACGCCCGGCTGACCTACGCCCGGCTGACCTACGCCCGAATCGCCTACTCCATCGAATGTCTACGCCCGGCTGACCTACGCCCGGCTAACCTACGCCCGAATCGCCTACTCCATCGAATGTCTACGCCCGGCTGACCTACGCCCGAATCGCCTACTCCATCGAATGTCTACGCCCGGCTGACCTACGCCCGGCTGACCTACGCCCGAATCGCCTACTCCATCGAATGTCTACGCCCGGCTGACCTACGCCCGGCTGACCTACGCCCGAATCGCCTACTCCATCGAATGTCTACGCCCGGCTGACCTACGCCCGAATCGCCTACTCCATCGAATGTCTACTGCTCCCCTCCTGTCCGATTAACGAGTGAAGATTTCGCATACCAAAGTGACCCTTCCGGGGGAACCGGCACCCGCAGTCAGGTAACAATGGGAAGGGTCGGAGGGACCGACCGCCGCGCCGCATGGTGACAGGTGATTCCCGGGACGTCCGAGCGTCGCCTTTCAGACGCATCGCCGCCTTCCCCCCCCCCCCCCCCCCCCCCCACCGCGCCGTGCCGCGCCGCACAAAGCAGACGGACCCTGTCGCGGAGCGAACTACCCGACCAGGCTGTCATCATCGGCGGAGAGCCTGAACTGCTTTTTTTAATCGTTGAGCTGATCAAGCTCGAGTAGCCATGCTTGCGTATTTCACGCTTCAGCCCTGCTGTGAGCCATGTTTTATGATTTCTCATTTCAGATCTTAACAATGATCTTAGGTAGGAAGAACCGTGAGAAACGCCCCTCCCCCTTAGCCCTCGCCGGTATAAGGGGGGGGGGGGTCGAACAGCCCCCTCTCGGTTTTCGATAGTAACTCGCGTAAAAACCCGCTGATCGCGACGGAACTTTCATTACCCTCGCGTTCATCAATTTTACACCTACCCTAACAATTTCATGACCCTGACGCAAATGACCCTTGACCTGTGACCTACTTTTCGAGACCATGTTTGGCCGGAATCGTGATTCGGCGTATGTCGTCTCCTCTTAGCCGCGCGTTTGCACTCTTTTCGTGATTTCAAGCGTTCAAACATGTGATATGATATTGCTCCTATGCGTTAGGGTGGGTGCAGGGGCGTCGCCGACGGGGGGTCGGGGGGGGGGGGGGGGGTCGCGACCCCCCACTCGTCAGAACCGGGGGGGTCGACTCCCCACTTTTGGCGATGCTGAGTATGTTTTTTTAGCTATCATGTCAGGGAAGTTGGCGTCAGCAACATCAACAAATACAACGTCAGATTCAGAATCGCTTCAAGAGCTCCCTAGTCCCTATTGCTTATAGGTCAATAAGCTGTGGGCTAGAACATCAGCATGACAATATGATTTTAGTCCCTTTTATCCCTCAAATGAGCGAGCGCGTCAAAACTGACTCAAGCGTTCGTCTGATTGTCAAAATAATGGTTGCAGTCGTTTCGTCGGATGACGTATCAGTAACTACGAGGTACCTGGCTAGCCTCAGCCCTGCTACCCTCGGACCTGCCTGCATAGGGGAAATGGGGTCAGATGGTGGATCCCTCTGGGGCTTTCCTAATAAGACGCGCAAAAAAGGAGTATATTGCAACGAAACTTCCAGTGACCTCGAGTTAATGAATTTTACACATATTCTAAAAAAAAAAAAAATTGGCCCTGATTCGAATATGGATGACCTTGGTTAACTTTTTTAAGTTTTATTTGCTTCCACTTACAAGTGTGGTTTTTGGGGCTGATTTCGAGTTTAGCGCCCGTTTGAACCGTTTGAAGTAGTTTTGATAAATGATGGTTATGTAGCATGTTACGAAGCTATCGTTGGTGGTTGTCAGTCACCCACTCTAGATGGCCGGCAGGAAGCCTGCTGGTCGACCTGACCTGACCCGACCCGATCTACCCAAAATGCATGGAGTCATCATCTTTGTTCAAGACTAACATCGAACTCGTACTCGGGACCCCGATAACAGCTACGGCTCACTAAGTTCTAGCAGGCGGCCAGATTTTTCCTACTTTTGGGCGTTGACCTAAGATGACCCGGCCAAGACCTTGAAATTGGGCATCATCGGCTTTCTCTCATCACGGGCAGCATTTTCGCTCTTCCGCGAAAC